CTCTCTCTTCCATCCATCCATCCATGTATCCTTCAATCTTTTTTTTCTTTCTGATTCACACTCAAACTGACATGTGCTCATATCCTTTCACCTAGACACAGACATAAACAAAAACAGTTCCTCTATATTCTTAGGGAATTTCAAGTGTACCCATTTTCTCTCTTTAATATGTATTCATGCACACATGCCTCCCATACCTTTCTTTCATGTATAGCCTCTCATTCAAAATTGCCCTGTCCTTCTTGCCTTCTGTCTTTTTAGTCAAATGTTTACATTCTTACTGGGTTCTGTTTTTCCACTAGCAACTCATGTTCCTTTTATGAACAGTCAGGAAAAAGAGGCTTCTCTTTTTTAAAAATATAATGGAAAAAGAAAAGCAGACAGAAAACAACTTGTTTAGAATGAGGAGGCATTCAGCTGAAGGTGGCTCAGCACAAGCTACAGATTTCCAAGGACATAGAGCTGGAGTCACCCAGATGTGTAATAGGGCTCAGCTGGAGTCGCCCAGTTGTGAATAGGGGTTACAATTATTGAATACCCTGAGCATGATTCATTCAATGATTATATATGATCATAGCTGAAATTGACATAAGGAATTGTATAGCTTATCTTTCAAAATAAATACAGGTAGTCCTCACTTAATGACAGTAACTGTGACTTATGATAGCAGTTGCGGCAGTTCCAGTTGCTGTCATTAAGCAAATCCCATGAGGTCATTAAGCGCGACGTCACATGATCACCATTTGTGGCCTCCTGCCAGCTTCCCCATTGACTTTGCTTGTCAGAAGCTGGCACTAAAGGTTGCAAATGGGGAACACATGACTGTGGGACACTGCGACCATCTTAATTGCGAACCAGTTGCCAAGTGTTTAAATTATGATCATTTGACTGCAGAAATGAGGCTGCAGCTATGAGGACTGGTCATAAGTCTCCTCATTCAGCGCCATCATAACTTTGAACAGTTGCTTCATGAGTGGTTGTTAAGTGAGGACTACCTGTATAAAGTCTCTTTCCTTAGGCGTTATAAAAACAGACAGATAGAAGCTCTGGAAAAGGATTTTGCAAGTTTTATGTAGAAAAATAAGACTGTAAAACCACTGGGGTTATCTCTCAAACCAGGATGAGCAAAGGCTAGACTTTGTCCCATGACTTTTGTCATAGCAAGAAAATGAACCTACAGTTATGGTGACGTATGGCTCTGAAGTCCTGTAGTACTGTAAAGTATTCATGTTGAAGCTGTAGTCTTCCAGAACTGCTGGATTATAATTCTTAATAATCCTCACTAGCTGTGGCTGCTGAAAAGTGTATTTCAGTATCTTTGAGAAGGCTACAGGAGCCTATCCCTGCCCTTAAGCTTTAAAAGAGGAGGTACAGGTTACTCCACCTATTACTAATTCTATAACTTTCCTACTAGAAAATGTACTCTGCTATCATCCTTTGATTGAAAAGATGAAGCCCAGGATTGTTTTGTCTGATTTCTCAGAAGCCAAAAAAAAACACCCCAGGCTCAAGCAAAGTTTATATTAAAACTGTAGTAGCTGGGTTCGCTCAATACACCAGATTAGGCTAAAATGAGGTTGTTTAGATTTTGGTTCAGCATGTTATGTGACCCAGCATTGTCTTAGCATGTATTGTGAAACAAGTCATCAAGTTAAGACATCATATAATTTGTTTGGATATATCACTTTTTCTTCTAAGTTTGGTTAAAATCTGGTTTAAAATTTAATGTGTTGAATATTCCCAAATAATCAGTCCACATCAGGATTTAAGGAGCAATAGCACTCCCCACCCCCCGTGTTCTTGCTTAGGAATAATCACCTTAACTTGACATACTTTGCTTTGCCTTGATCCATCCTGCTGGTCTCAGAAAAGACTTGGCTTAACTATTTCCATTTTTTTGTGAGCCTCATACTATACTTAAATAGGATGGCAGTCAATAGGAGGGTATTGGCAGGCAGTCAGCTGCAGGGTAAGACCAACCGTAACTGAGTACTGTCAGTTAATCAATCAGTCTTGGCCTACTGGCCTTTGTACAACTCCACCCTTAAAGACTGATCTTTAATCAATATGGTTTACCCTGAGTACTGGATTTTAATTTAACAAATAGCCAATACAGATTAGGAGCCTGAGGATAGCTTTAACACTTTACCCATCATTCCTGCAATGCCCTTATTCAGTTTAACCCCTTATTCTGTTCTAGTGAGAATTCTAGATGATTTTCAAAAATTAAAAATCAAAACACAAAACATGTATTACAAACATATTAAAATTAATATTGAATTCAGTTATCAATTTAAAAAGTGGATAAAGAGATTTCAGATTTCAAAATGCTTGAGAGAATGGGGACCAAACACAACTCCTGAGGGAATGCATTCCATATCCTAGGAGAATAAAGGTCTTTTCCCTCATGTCAGAAATGGATTTTAAAAGCTAGATTGGTTTATAAAGAGAAAGGTGGTTCCTTAGATAGTCAGACCATTTAGGGTTTTAAAGTCATCTGGTAAGTCGGTTGCTGTATAAATTGAATGAATAAATAAATCAGACTTAGTAAAGAGCTCATTCCTTTATTCAGTTGGAATGTATTTTCTTTTAATTTGGATGCTTATTAAAAAATGCATCCCAACAGATGGGCACATCCCCTCAAGGATGTGACATTGCCAAATGATTGCATCATTCATTAGGAGAGCTTCCTATTTCAGATCATAATACTTGCATAATATCCTACTTAATAATTTGCTATCAATACCTTGATGTGTCCCACCTACACTTTATACCCTGTGGTGATACATTAATCATAGTGGTCATGTTGCTGTTTCTGAACCACTGAGAGATGGCAGTTCCACATGCTGGAATGTTTTATAATTAATTTAATAAGAGTTAGATTATATATTTAATTGATTAGAACACCAACATTATAATCCTAAAAATTAAACTAATTATAATATCACCACCTTTTATTCATTTGTGAGGTTTGCTTAATTAAGTTAATATTAAGGCAGTCATATTATGCCTTTTGATTTTACTTTAATTTGGATTAGGTTTCAATCTGAGATTGCTTGAAGATGTCATTGTTACTGCTAACTGGAAGAAAAAGCCATGTACTATGAAGTCCTTTGAAGTAGAAATAGTAGGAATCTACTTCATACACCAACCACTAGGTGTATCTGTTCTGATAGATAGCAGTTCTCCAGGATTTCAGGCAGAGGATATTTAATCACCTGTTACTTAGAATGTAGAACTTCCTTCATACAGAGGATATGCTATACTATATCAAAGATCAGTGGGATCAGCCCTAAATAATTCTGCTTTCAGAAATGTAATATTCTGAAATAAATAGGTTGTTTCGTTCAGCATGTTCAACATATGAACAATAATATGATACAGAGTCCAAATGAGGATTTTACTGTCACTGAAATATATTTACTCATTTTTGCCATTTGATTAAAAAAATATTTTAAAGAAACTAAGATGATACATCACAGACAGCCTGAACATATCTGTCTTGCAGATTTATTTATTTATTTCATTTATTTATTTTTATTTTATTTACAAGTACTTTTATGCCACTTTGGTTGGGTGAATCTAACAACTACAGCAGTTTAAGCACTGCTGCTTACTCTCCATACAATAGATGCAGTGACATTTGACAGCAAGCTTTTGAGCCCACCTGCCCAATACTGCACCATTAGCCTTTATAACTAAATTAACCCTAATCCTCCTTTCCGGCACTGATTAACCAATGCAGGTCTTTGTTGCTGGTAGGGTACTGTGATCTCTCCGGTACCTAATGTACTAGAGCTGAAACGACCCTGTCCTGAGACAAGAGGTGCACTTCTGCTCCATCATTTTTTCTGCATGCTCCGTTCTGCACACCTTCTCCTACAGCAGCGCTAAATCTTATTCTCAGCCAGCCAATTGATAAGCATCACTCTGAGGGTCTTCTGAGCTTATGTAGTAAGGTAGCTGCTGCAGTTCCTTGGGCAGGCAGACATTCCAATCTCTTGACAATGTGTTATTACATACTCAGATTAGCTAAATTAGAATGACTGGCTGATGGCAAGTTGGTCTGGAATGTTGCACAGTGTAGACATAATGAAGTGGCTACTCTGAACTTCAGGTCAAGAGGCAGTGACTAGGGCTTGACCTGATTTTCTTAGCCATCATGGTTCATCACCCAAAGCAGTTAGTTAGGCTGGCCTTGCATGAGAATCAGACCTCTTGTTCTATCCTTGTCCACAGCTATTGAAAATGAAACCATCCAAATTTGTCACTGGTCCAGATTTATATCCATTCTAACACATATGTTGAAATATAGTTATACAGTATCTTGGAAAGAAATTAGACTGTTTTAAAATCTAGGTCAAGAAATATTAGTAATACTTATTATATACTGTATATCTCCCCTTTAGTATGTATGCTGCTATTTGGAGAAATATGAACAAACACAAGCTTCCTGCCTCCCCAAAATAACTTTGAGTCCAGATTTGGAATTTGAAATCTAAATTGCTTCTGAGTACACTGAGTACATTACAGTGTGAAAGAAAAATTATGTTCAGCTCTGTTGCTTAAGAACCCCTTAAGTGTTAGAAACATGGTTCAAATAGAGCAAGAAATCTCTGATACACTTAATGCTGTAATATTCTTGTCAGAGCTTCAGAACCTGTTGACTGTGAAAAAAAGCAGACTGGATTTGAGGAAGGTGTGTTGCTGTTCCTTCTTTTTTATCTTTTGGTTCTCAATTATACAAAAATCTACAATGCCTGTAATAGAACTCTGCTGATGAGATTTTAATTCTTTATTGTCATTAAAAGTAGATGGCAGTTGGCACTATCTTTTTTATAAGCGTCTCTACTTTTTGTCAAATAGAGCTTGGAAACATTTCTCTACTCTCTGGTGCCTGGCAGTGATCAGTTGGATGCCAGATCATTCAGGTTCATTCCTGATCAAACAGGCTAATGCAGATTTACTGAAAGAGTAACTTTGTGAAATGGCCAGGCCCTGAAAGAAAATGAAGATTTTGTTAGTCCTTAGTATATTTCAGCTCTTAATTGGCTCTGCACTCATTTTGGGAATATAATTTATTTTTATTAAATTAATCAGAGATGAATTCCTAGCACTTTTAAAAAAACATTTCAGAGAAGAGATTGACCTTTTTTAGCTCACAAACAGCTGTAACCTGCATGCATTTTTGCACGTAGAACAGCTGTTCCGGTGCTCAAAGCGTAACTGCCTAGATTCTGATGTTCTTTGAATCAGACATGGATGGAGTAAGGTTGATGCCTTGAGACCTGTAATGGTACTTATGGAGACTGTTGTATGGACGTCCATTTTATGGGAGGGGTTCTTTTCCCAAAGAGTTTGCAAATAACAGCAAAATGACATTTTCCACAGTGAAAAAGTTATTTGTCATTATTATTTCTCTCCAAAGGAATATTCTTTAAAATTCTCATTGTAAGATGTGCCTGCAGGGTAGAGTACCCAGCATATATTTACCAATCTGTCTTGCTGTGCTTATAAGTGATATTGATGACATGTTGTCAAGTGGGCTGCCAAATTCCTGCTTGAGGAGTAAAGTACAGTAATAGCAACTTCATGGCTTTCTCCAAGTGGTATTAACAGCAAAAATGGTCATCAGTAAGTGGTATCATATAACTACAGCCAGTGCATGTTCTTAGAAAAAGCTTAGATTTTAGGGGGGGGAAGTCTTGAACTAGAACCAAAATACTACCTTACTGTGGTTTAAGACTGTAATAAAACGATCAATTGATCGACTGACTAGTTGCTTGCTTGCTTCATTTATTCACACTAACGGTATGAATAAACATAAACAGTATGAATAAACAATAGAATAAAGTATAACATTCCTTGTTTCTCTGTGACTGGGGCTGGCCTTCTGGAATAGCCTCTTGCTGGAGGTTCAGTCAGCTCCAATGTTACCTGCTTTCCAGAAACAGCTGAAAACAGAGCTTTTCCATAGGGCGTTTTGGTGCTAATGCCAGGTATTGTTTATGGATGTCTATGTGTGCAGTTATCTTTTATTATTGGTGTAACTGTCTTTTTGTCCGGAAATAAAAATGTGATAAATATATAGAGAGTGAAAGAAAAAAATGTAAAGAAATAAGAACTTACTTCAACTGGAGTTGAAGTTCTTCATCCTCATCATGTTGCCACAGTACCAGCTGAAAAAAAACTGAAGGAGTTCAGTGTGACTTGACTCCTGAAAAGCTGGGGTCCCGCTGGAAAGCTCAAGCAGGGAACGCTCACAGTGTTGCTTTGTACAGACCCAACCCATATGGGTAAGGCATAAGAACACAAACAATAACTTACAGGCAGGCTACATTAAGATCTCTGTAAATGCTGGTTCCCAAATCTTTTTGCCGAAATAATGGATATGTGTGAGGCATTTTTATGTAGGAATATTTTGGCTGGAGAGAAGCTATGATCATCTATGCTTACTCATTTCCCTCCTTCAGTACCCCCAGCCCCTAGCCAAACTTATATTCACCTTGACTGAAGAAAATGTATTTTGAAAATATTCAAAGCAACCTGAGAGGCAGAGCTGATCTTAGTGATTAAATGTCACTGAAACAAGGGTAAAGAGCCAAAGAGAAATCACACTGTTTCCTTATTTTTTATAAGCGGTCTCTATACACTTTGGAGAGCTCATGTTAGAATTCTTGATATCTATACTGTCTGCATTTTTTTTTTCACCCTTGGTTTATATTTGTTTATTTTCAGATCACATTAACAACAATTGGTTATGGAGATAAAACTCCTCTTACTTGGCTAGGAAGGCTGCTTTCTGCAGGGTTTGCACTGCTTGGCATTTCTTTCTTTGCATTACCTGCTGTGAGTATCTTTACAACTGTGTTTTAAACTTGAAGGACATACTCTGTGCTGGATATGTGAGAAACAATATTAGCCACTTATATCAATGTATTTGTAAAGCCATGTTAACTATTGCTATTACATACAATACTTTTTAAATTTTTAAGGTGCTTTAAAAGCTTATTTATCTCCAATGATAAATATGTACATTTATGAGACATCCAAAGTTTTATTTGGTAACACTGCATCCAAAACAAAGTTTGCATGGAGCTTGCTAAGATTGGTTAAGTCGATCCCCACTATGAATAAATGTCAGGGATTGAGCCCATCCTGGTTTTTCATCTGTCCTTAAGGTTATTGGGAGAAGAGCAGGATCTCCATAGGCTAGAGAACCAGCTTCTTACATCAGTATAGAGATTTCCTCAAAGGAAAAGAGATCTGCCTTGTCCAAGCATATCTTTCATAATGTAGTTAGGAATCTCAGTAAGTTCTAGTAATCAATACAATATTTACATGTTAGAGTACTTTTACATTGTAATTACATGTTAACGTATTTTTAGATGTAAATTGCATGTCAGAGTATTTTCCATGCAAATCTATACAGGATTTTTAAAGTAAAAAAAATCTTTTACTGTCAGAAATCATCTAGAAGTGCTCATCTCCCAGAAGGCTAAGGAACATATTGTTCTGTACTCTGGAGCTTTTTTGTCAGTTTATGAATATAGATTAGATACTGAAATAGTGAAATAATGAAGTACGTTGCTTCTATGCCCTGCAGAAATACTATTATATATAAATTAATAAAGTGAAACATTTGCCTAGGAACAGATGCTCTTTCTGATCCAGCTGCTATCTAATGCTCTTAAAGGAAATTTATAGTGTTTGGCTGCTGAAATTCCAGTGACTGTTCACAGCTAAAAGAAAAGCTTTCTCCTTGACAGATACCAACACCTACTTGAAAGTTTTAGCAATTTCAAACAGCACTAGATAGAGTAGAAGATGCAATGAATGCAACCTGATATACATATTCTAGAGCTCTCCAGTGATCTGGATTTGAAGAACAAAATCTAATTCAAAGCACACATGGGTGCACTTGAGATACCAGTCGAGAATATCTTAAGCCAAATGTGTGTTTTTCAGTGGAGGGCTACTGTAAGGTGTTCCTAACAGATGCTACATGCACACCCATATGCAACTGAATTATAATGTGTCCTTCAAATTGGGGTCTCTGCACAGCCAAGCATGTACCTTTGATATTTGTCATTAAGTAATAATCTACTTCTAAACGTATGCAAATAGTATTCCACAATACACTAAACATTTTACTTGCATGTGGGATGCTGCACTTTTATTAAGTTGATACAATGTAGTGATAAAGAACATCCCTGGTTTAAATAGTAAATTAACCATATTTTCATTTAAGTTTAACTACAAATATACCAGCATTCTTCTTTAGCTGTAATATGAAATGATAATACTATATAACTTGTAGAATTAATGAAGTGATTTATACATAGGGAAATGGATTTAGACTTCTGTTAAGCAGACTTCTGTTTTATTGAGGATGGAGGATCCTAGCTCCCCCCTACCCCCCCCCCCA